GCGAGTCGAAGCAACCTGAGTAGCATCGGACCATCTCGTGAGCTTGACACAGCGAGAGGCTTCTTATATACTAAATGCTAAACTTTTTCGCCGCTTGTGGAAGGTACTTGGACGGGGCTGTAAAATATCGAGGGGTGGTTGGATCGGCTTGCGAAAAAAAGCAAAGGCAGTGATACTCTTTGAAGCAAATAACGTGGACGTCGGGAAAAAATATGGAAATTTGGTTTTTTCGGAAAAAAGCTCTGATTGACATATCGTGCAATAAGCTTAACCGGACTACACCAAGCGGTCGAAAGCTCAACTTGCGAGTCGCGAGGGAGTATTTTGCGATCGATAGCCTATAAAACAGTACGTCTGCGCTTGAGCTGTAGACTTGCGGCTATGGGTAATAGATGACGCTGCACATGTTTTACGGGGAAGCAGATCTGCATTGCAGAGACATTTATCGTGCATGCTCTGGCAGAATAGCCAAGTGTTTTTTTATTGGCAATTGAATTTTACAACGCTATCAATTTTTTTTTTTTTTTTCTTTCGTTGTGAATTTAAATCTAATAAAGCTCCATTTTTGCTGAATTGAATTATAGTAACTTTTCGCAACATAATTTTTGTATGTGTTCGAAAATAGATGTAACTTTTGGCGTTTCTGTTAAAAAGAATTGGATAAAAAGTGACTATTAACCAAGATTACATATTTAATTGTGTTTGATTACAACATAATAAAACACGAATTATTAATTTTTTTTCACTAGGCATTTATTAATTTGGACGTGTTGAGAGAATATCCGATGTAATTCATAAGTATAGCTTAATATTTAGAAAAAGCAATGATATAAATTTTAATATAACCTACCAAGTATTCCAAACAACGATCAATTAAGTATTTTTTGTAACAGATAAGGTGGGTATATTTTTAGGCAAGATTCATATGATAGCTCCGATAATGCCAGGTACTTAACTTCTCTACTAAAAAACAGAAACTTTAAATGGATTTTTATTATCAGCATTAAACCACTATATTTAAAAAAATTAAAATAAATACTAAATAAGGAATAATATAAAAGAAATTTATTTGGTAAGGCAGGAAAATCATCCAAAAAATTCTACACTTTTTTTTTTTTTTTTTTATGTAC